GGGGGTGGGGGGTGGGTCCGTCAAGTCCTCTGCCTCTAAGAGCTCATGTGAGCAGACAGAGCCACTTGGGCAATCCCGGATAATCTCCTTATGCTCAGGGCACACCATTGGTCATCTGAATTCCATCTGCAAAGCCCTCTCAGAGCAATACTTAGATTAGTGTTGGTTTGAAAAAGTAGGGGAAAGGGAATCTTGGAAGTACATCATTAGAATTAGCTTGTTGCATATCTTTGTAGTTTATTTTTAATTTTTTTTATCGATCAGATTAAAACATGGAAGACAGAGAGGTTTCCTCCTCACCTCTCCTACTCTCTATGCCAGTACATATACGCAAATAGGAGACAATGAACAGGAAACAGAATTAAATAGTGGTCTTGGTGACTGTGTCCCATGTGATCATATCAAATAACTTAGAACACCTAGGTGCCGATAGGAAGTAAACCTTACTTGATCAGCCACTCAAATTGCTGCTTGATGTCTGAGCACCCGTAATCGGTGGTCCAGGCATGGCCAATGGTGTACTTGTGGAACTTCAGCATGTCCATCACTCCCACTTGGGCAATCACACAACCAAAGAGGTCAGGACGCTGATTTGCACACGCAGCTGGAAAATGAAGGCAGCAAAGGGAGATGAGTCAGCCTATCATTAAACATCTACATCAAACTAACAAAACACAGCTAAATGTTTTCAGAACCGTGGTTGTCCTTTTCCTAAGGACTTGGGAAGAAACCGTCAAAAATCACCTGCCCAAAGTTCCCCAAGCTTTCGTCCCTTTCCACCATCTCGGAGGGCCGGGGCAGTCTCATCAATAACAGAGAGCTATTACTCTCTCTGAGGTAACGGACGTGCTGACTTTGAGGACTGAGATGCTCATTCCAGAGCTCATTTTCGATCGCCTCAATGGCATGTGGAAGTGGGAAAAGGAATCAGGATGAGCGACTGCAGAAGAACGGTGCGTTTGCATGATGGGCTGCAGAAGTGCCGAGGACGGCCAAGAGAACACACCAATCTGTGCCGCCCGGTGCGTCTTAGAGGCGAGAATGGCAAGACTTGGTCTCTTGTACTTTGCACGTGTGGTTGGGAGAGCCCAGTCCCGGAAAACGACATCATGCTTGGTAAATCAGAAAGTTGGTAAGAAGACCCTCATTCAGATGGATTGACACAGTGGTTGCCCTAATGGACAGTGCTTTGCTCTGTGGACACACAGGAACTGACTCAGTGGCACGTGGCAACAACATTAACTAATCACAGAGTGGATCTTCATGAGGGAGGGGGTGCTATCTGAAAACAATAAGATCTTTCTGGAAAAACAGCAACAACAAAAAAACATATGTGTCCTGTACGCCCATCTCAACTTGTGTCCATTGGTGATGAAGGAAGTTAAGGGACTTGGACTTGTTCCAGATCTTAGAATTTCAAGACAGAAGAGGGTTAGGGCCTAGAATCCAGCAGAGAGTTGTTATCAATATTGGTACATCACCGTGTCTTATTCTAAAAGCCTTTCCTTCATATAGGAAGAGGCTTCAAAAATCCATGAAGCCCCACTGTAATAACCACTTCTTTGGATCATTCATCAAGTATTTGAGTGTCTGCCAGGATTAAGACCCAGGGTATATTAATGAGTAAAACGGAATTTAGTGGAAGAGATGTGAGTACGTGATTACAAAGGGTGTGACAATCCCCACTGCTGAAAAAGTTCAGGTAGTAAACACAGGAGTATAGGTGTACCCAGCCCACAGGAAGATTGTCTGGGACGCTCTGAGAGGAAGAAACACCACAGCCGCTACGTCTAGGACAGCTGGTCAAAGGATGTGAACTTTTTCTGCCTCTAGCCAAAAACATAGTTTCCAGCCCCAATTCTGCTTTCAGTGGTTATTAATAATACAGAATCCTGAACCCTTGGGGATCCTGGAACTCAATAAAACTTGTTGAATGAATGAGCCAAATTATTATTTGCCATTTATGAATTTTTAAGAATACCTTTTTACAAATTTAAGCAAATTATATTGAACTTTTGTATTTGATCTCCTCTAGAAAGTGCATTTCCAAAGTTCTAATGAACAGGGCTAGCTAACAAATGTACAGCAGAGCCTGTATATGTTAATGTACATGTGTGCAAAAGATCCCGGTGACACCGACCGTCAGAGCAGCAAGCAGTGTGTCCAGGTCACTATACGTGTTCACTGTAAGGCCGTGCTACCACCAACATAAAATAAACATAAAATAATTTTATAAAAGTGAAATTTTATTAACTAGAAAAAAATTATGAAAAGCTGCTTAGAGGCAATGCCACGCAGCGGTGAAAAGATCAGTAAACTCAAATCCCAGTACAAGCCTTACAACCCAGCACTGCCAATTCCCACTGTGTGACACTAGGCAGGTCATGCAATCTCTCTGTCCCGTTTCCTCCGTTGTGAAAGGAGATAACAACAGTGCCCATCTCACAACAGTGTGTAAGTGAAAACAGTCCCTGCCAGGGCTCAGCCCACGATGTGTGAAAAATTCCTGAACATGTGAATGAGGGGTGGGGGGTGCGGGTGGAGTGGAGACCCAAAGCTCATCTGTAGACAACTGGACATCCCCTCACAGAAGGATCACAAGGAAGGGATGAGCCAGCCAGGGTGAAGTATAGCACAGACAAAACATACAACATTCCTCTAGTTCTTTAATGCTTCCCCCTGGCATGACCCCAGTTCTATATTAAAAATCCAGCTAGACAAGAGCACGTACACAGGTACAGATAAGAGCTCTAGACACACGGAATCCAGGACAGATAACCCCCTCAGGAACAATAATAGGAGTAGTGATACCATGAGAGTAGGGGGGAAGGTGTGGGGAGAAAGGTAGAACCGACTTAACAATCGACCTATAACCCCCCCCCCCCCCCCACCACACACACACACCCAGGGTCACGAACAATGGAAACATGGGTGAAGGGAGACAGCGGATGGTGTAAGATATGGAAATAACAATTTATAAATTATCAAGGGTTCATGAGAGTGGGAGGGTAGGGGGGTGGCAGGAAATGAGGAGCTGATACCGAGGGCTCAAGTAGAAAGAAAATGTTTTGAATATGATGATGACAACATATGTATAAATGTGCTTGACACAATGGATGGATGGATGGATTGTGATAAGAGCTGTATGAGCCCCCAATAAAATGCTTAAAAATAAATAAATAAATCAGGGTAGCTGTGCGACCGCTGTTAAGTTATGATGACACCTTAAGAGTCCTACCTAATGCCATCGGGAGGGGGGATCAGTCCTATCAGGGGTGACTCCTGAGAACCGGGCCCACAGCCCACAGCCGGAGGGGAAAACAACACTGCAGAAGGAAGGGCCAAGAAGTGGCACAGCTGTTCAGGCCAAGAAGTGGCACAGCTGTTCAGGCTATCATGGATTCAACGATTTATTTAATTGTCATTTATCAGAGCTAAACGTAAATGGGTTTTGTTTTTTTGCAGCATGTCTCCCACCTATGAGTCAAAAGTAAATTGAGGGCGACCTGTAAACCTGATCCTGTAGGTTTAAACTAATAAGTACAATGAAAAACATCCAGTCCTCACCCACTAACAGGCCTCCATTGGAACCTCCATTAATTGTCAGCCTCTTGGGAGACGTGTAGCTTTCCTTTATAAGATACTGGGCAGCACACTGGAAGTCATCAAAGCAGTTTTGTTTGTTGGCCAAGATCCCACCTATAAAGTGCCAAAACACAAGACAGCCAGTTAAAAGGCAAATCAAAACATAACCGCTGAACCTAAAGGGAGTTAGGATGATGATAGGGCTTCCATTCAACCACCAACTAACCTAAACAACTCAAAAACGAATGCTGCATCAGGCATTTTAAAGACATCTCCACTGAAATGCTGTTATTCATAAAACAAACAAACTCACTTCCATTGAGACAATTCTGACTCAAATGACCCTAAAGAACAGGTAGAACTGTCCTGTGGGTTTCTAAGACTGTAGCTCTTTATGGGAGTAGAAAGCCTCGTCTTTCTCCCACAGACCAGCTGGTGGTTTTGAACTGCTGAGCTTGTAGTTAGCAGCCTCACACGTAACCACTACACCACCAGGGCTTCAACTATAACAAAGGTTGTTATGTTTTGTGGCAATCCACCATTAATATTACAACTTCTAATACATATACTAGATTTGTATTTTTTTTACCAGTCCCTAGAGCTCAAAAGGCAAACTGCCCCAAAGGGAACAGAATGTAATCGCAAACCATCTTTATTGTGGAGAAGCTGAACTTAGCACTCCCTTTGTTTTGCAGAAGTTTGAAATGAGAAAGCAAATGAAAATAAAGTTCGCCAATTATGCCTCTGTTTACAACTTTAAAGGATGAGCAGAAATTGGGGTGCGGCTGTGCTCCACAAAGGATGGCAGGCTCCAAGTCTTGATTGAAAGATGTCAGGCCTTTCCCCAGAGGATGGGGCTTCCCCATCTGTAAAAGTCACCTTGACGCACCAATAACTTAGGGGCTGCCACATTTACAGGGTCTTGGAATACCACAGTCAAAGGCAAGCCCTCACAAGCATAGATGTCTGAAATAGCTGCCAGCAGAATGAACACAAATCAGATTGACCTAATTTGATATTAACCACTTCTGCAGAAAGTCAATTAAATGATGAAGCAGGGCAACTGAAGAAATTTTTTCATAGCAAAACAAATGTTACTGAGATTTTAATAAGAAATTGTAGTTGTATTAGAATAGTTCGTATTACTTAGTTTCCAGGAATAATATCATTTTGGGGCTATGACTATAATTTTTATAGAGCATTAAATTTTAAACTCAACAGTATGGAATTTAGATTTATCAATGTTCAATATTCCCTGCTGTAAATAGAAAGGTCCCTTTCTAGCCCATTCACTGCTAATTTTTTAGAACATTTCTGAATCAGTCTAAACAGAAAGCTTATTTTTAGTCTGAGCCAAGTGTCAGCCCCCTAACCTCCTAAGACCCTTGAGCAGTACGTTGGTTCTAATTAAGACAGAAATGAGACAAAGAACCAACTAAGAGGGTGGAGGGCACCCTCCCCCGACAGAGCATAGTGGGCACTGGAGTGAGGTCAGAGAGGGCTGATGGAGGAAAACCCAGGTTCTTTCGGGAAAGGGTCCCGGGATCAGGAATCTGTGCACACGCACCTGTGTTTGTGTACATGCAACACAGACAGTTTCCATTGGAACGCAGGGCCCAGACTCAGAGTATGAATTTGGAAAATAAATTAAACATATGATTTAGAGAGACTTTATCCTTTTTTATGTCAGTTGTCTTTTAATGCCACAGTTTCACATTATGATTTCAGTGTAATTAGACTCTAACGTTGGCCAAAATTCAGGCAATTCTGTGTAGTTTCAACTACAATGACTGCCAGTCTTTGGGGCCAGATACTTGGCAGCAGTTGATCCAACAATGGCAGGCAGACCAGGTATGGCTGGTACCTGTTAATTAGGAACACTCATTCTTACTAAGATGCTCAAGTAGTTTGTTGTCTGATGCCAGCCCTAGGGATAAAAACTGGGTCAAGTCTGAGCTTTTCCTATATCTTGACCCTCACAGATTTATGAAAGTCCCTTTATAGCCCTCCCTTCCTTGTGGCTGAAACTGAAAGCCAGGGTGCTTGGTTCAGTCTGGGAGGAGAAGAATGGACGCACAGAGCTGCAGGTGGTCTCTGATGATCTCACTAGAGGAGAAGGCACTGAGCGCTGCTGTCCACCATCCCAGTGGGGCTTCCCTAACGGGGGGCTGATGGAGAGGAAGAGGAGAAGCACGCTGGAAGGGCAGGCGCCCCGCCCCCGACTCCCCTCCCATAGTCCCCTCCAGACACAAGACCAACACAAGGGAAGGTGGCGCTCTCCAGACCATGGCCCACCTGCGGAGAATCACCTGGTAGAGAAAGACCAAGGGAGGGTTTTGTGCCAAGGTTCTTAGAAGTAGAGATGATTATTTTAAATAAAACGGTGATAATCTGGGGTATGAAGTTTAGTGCTGCAGCATGAGTCTCAATCAACCAGAACTCACAGTGCCAGAGGCCAGAGAAAGGAGATGCACTAATCAAAATCAGAAAAGAAAAATGACTTCTAAAACCTCTCCTGAGAGTCAGGTGGCACTGCTCGGAGGATGCCATCTCTCAGGCATGCTGGGCAGATCAGAGGAAACCAGCAAAGGGTGCCGGCCTGGGGGACAGAAGAGATTGCTTTCTTATGAGAAAAATGGCCGGGTCTGCTGCACTGTAAAAGCAGTAGGAACCTGAGACCAGACCAAACCATGCCGTGCCGCCGCCAAGACTCACTTCCGATGGTGACAGATCAAAAGTGGTCCTACGCATTGTTCAGCACAAACTAATTCTGATTGCGTGTAGAACACGCTTCTGAAAATGTGTGCTTTATTATAATAAACATACGACAATGGAAAATAAAGTGTGGAAAGACAGATTTGTTAAAGGGGGTGTGGTGCCAGCAACATGCTTACAAATAACCTTAGGTATCCTGATTTCTGTCTACCCAAAATAGCTCTCTTTTCTAAACCCCCTCGGCTCATTTAAGCAAGAAGGCTCAGTATAACTTTGGACCAGATGTGTGTCTGGAGAGAAAACAATCTCACCTTTATGCCACGTCTCTCCGTATTCGCCACCTCCTCTGATGTTGGCCACTGCGAGAATGCCACCCATATGCCTCACAAAAATAAGCCTGGACACACTGAGAAATGGTCAAGACAGTTAGCCTTTCCTGTATCGTCTCGTAAAGATCATGTACTCTCATTTCACTTCCCCAAAAGAATCCCCCAAACACTTCACCTGCAGTATCATCTTTCACCCACAAGTATATACATATAGGATACATACAGATCATCCTGCTAGTAGGAAACTTGCCTTTATTGAGAATGCGCAGGGGAAATTCCATTTTATTCTAGGAATCAGACATTAAAACCAAGTTTGCAAGCAGCTGACTGATACTTATAGTGGCTGCTGTGGCGGTGTGCCCGTGAATCGATTCGCCCCCAGAGGAAGCCTCTGGACAGGAACACTGATTGCGCCAGGGTTTCCTCGCTGTGACATGATAGGAGCAGCTCGCCAGGTCTTTTCCCCTATCAGGTAGCAGACGAGTGCTTAACCACTGCACCACTAGGGCTTCTTCTGAGGACTCGTATACACAGGAGCAAATGTATACATGTAGGTGTTTAATCACCCAGAACATATCTTATGTGGGGACCAGCCATAGAAAGAATGGTTGTGGAACATGTTTAAATGGTTGAAGGAATAAGAGCATTACGTCACACCCACGGCCATCAAGTCAATTCTACCCTCAGCGAGCCTCCAGGGCACAGCAGCAGGGCTCCTCTGGGCTTCCGACACAACCAACCTGTCCAGGAGCAGACGGCCTCATCTTGCTCCCAAGGAGGCTGGTGAGTTCCAATGGTTGACCTTAGCCCAGCACTTAACCCCATTCTGCCGTGGGAGTGCCGAATCTATACTGGTGGCTGAATATGAAACAGCCTATTTTGTGAATCTGTGCTGGTGAAAAAGACCATACCCATTCGTTGAAAGCCATTCCCTTTGAAGAAAAGGCTGAGGGCAGTGGGATGGTGGCAAATGAGAGGCATCGACAGCAGTGCTGTCTAAGCTTAAAGGCCTCAGGTGTGTCCAGCCTACGTTCTCAGGCAGCTGTAGCTTCAGCTGTTAGCTTGCAACCAACGATTCTACTGATGACATTTTGAGATTCGCTTATGATCCTGCAATTCCTCACCCAAAATGCAGGTAGCGAAGAGATCACTCTATCCCTCCACGAACAGAATAAGTGAGCAATCAGGACATGAGGGAAACCTGTCCACAGTGGAACAAGCTCTGGTTCCTTCCCACTGTGTGGAAGAGAAGTGTCTGCAGGGGGCGGGGGTGGGCATGACGGAAGGGCGCGCCATGCTTACCTGTAGTTGGGTGTAATGGAGATGTTGAAGCCGCCATAGCCATACAAGAAAGCAGGGTGGGAACCATCCAATTTGATGCCTTTTTTGTGCACAATGAACATTGGAATCTTTGTACCGTCCTTGCTGGGGTAAAAAACCTACAAAGGGAGAAAGAAGAAGTGACACATGAAGAGTTTGTAGGCTTGTGCCAGGGAAGCCGAGGGAGAGCGAGCGAGTAAGGAGCCCACCAATGAAAAAAATGTCCGACAACTGACTGGGGTGATGCCTGCACGGTTCTTCTCAATACAGTCAACCCAATGAATTGTGCGGTAAGCGAATTACCTGTCAAGAAAACTGGAAAGAAAGAGGTCTATTTAAATTTAATATTCCTGACCAAGCTCTGACATGCTTTGAAATAGGAAAAAAATCAGACAGGTAGGAAGTTCTGCCTTCAAGATGCAGAGCAGCATATCCTAGGCTTACTGGGCAGCTTGTGGATAGCAAAATGTCTTTCGGTTTTTATGCAGGAAGTATCGAGCGGGGTAAAAAGCAGAGGTCCAAAACAAGAGGCAGGCCTTCAAATTCTCAATCCAGGGCTCGCTCGTTAGATGACTTTGGCCAAGTCACTTATCCCCCCTTCGCCTTGGTTCTTCATCCCAAATGGGGACACTGTGATCACCTCTCAGGCTGATCACAAGGAGGAAGTAACAGATCCAAAGTACACAGAGGAGAGCAGGCGTTTAATTCCCTGCTCCCACCCGGGTTTCCCAACACCAGGAAAAGGCAGATTTGGTTATCAGGCATTTTCTTCCCCCACCTCAAGAAAACAAATTTCATATTCCATTTCCTCTCTAAGTCCTACAATATTCAATACATCTTTGGTTTTCTATGTTTAACTATTAAACAGATGTTGATAACAAAACATGTTTGTATTACATTGGAAAAGAGATCAGGAACAACATTAAATCATCATTTCTGTGACGTTGAATAAGAGACATTTTCTCCAGTACTATTGTATGATTAGGTTCATCAAACCTTCAACATTAGAAGGGACCAGTTATTAGACATCAAAGAACTAAAAATCAGATCAGTGGATGCCTACCTTCCTGATACGATCACTGAAGACAAACATGTACATAAGCAAAGGTGGTGAAGAAAGCTGATGGTGCCAGGCTATCAAAAGATATAGCGTCTAGGGTCTTAAAGTCTTGAAGACAAACAAGCGGCCAACTGGCTCAGAAGCAATAAAGCCCACATGGAAGAAGCACAACAGCATGTGTGACCACGAGCTGTCGAAGGGATCAGGTATCAAGCATTCAAGAACAAAAAATCTTATCATTGTAAAGGTGGGTGAGTGTAGAGTGGAAACTCAAAGCCCATCGGTGGGCAACTGAACACCCCCTTACTGAGGGGTTGTGGGGAGGAGACAAGCCAATCAGGGTGCAGGGTAACAACGATGAAACATATAACTTTCCTCTAGTTCTTTAATGCTTCCTCCCATCCACTATCATGATCCCAATTCTACCTTACAAATCTGGCTGGACTGGAGGATGTACATTGGTACATATAGCAACCAGAAACACAGGGAATCCAAGATAGATGACTCCTTCAGGATCAGTGGTGAGAGGGGCGATGCCTGGAGGGTGAAGGGAATGTGGGGTGGAAAGAGGGAACCGATTACAAGAATCTAAGTATTGCCTCCTCCCTGGGGGATGGACAGCAGAGAAGAGGGCAGAGGGAAACATTGGACAGGGTAACTTATGACAAAACTATAATAATTTATGAACTATGAAGGGTTCATGAGGGAGTGGGGAGTGGGGAGGGAGGGGGAAAATGAGCAACTGATATTAGGGGCTAGAGTGGGAGGCAAATGTTTTGAGAATGATGAGGGCAACAAATGTGCATATGTGCTTGACACATGGATGTATGTATGGATTGTGAGGAGAATTTTACGAGCCTCCAATAAAATAATTTTTAAAAAACCTTCAACATTAAATTATTTCTGTAATGTTACATAAGAGACATTTTCTCCAGTACTGTTGTATGATTAGGCTCATAGAACCTTCTAGAACTGGGGCTACCACAGCCAAGTTCAGCCAACATTTTCATCTGTCTTGCTTTTTTGATAAGAGAGGGAAGAAGGAGGGTCAGGAAGACAACACTAATGGTATTAAAGTGATAAGCCCTAGAATAAGTGGTAAATCACCGAGAGTCGATAGTGGCTTCTCCCAGACTGAAAGGCTATCCAGAGCCTTCTCTCTGGGCAAATATGGCGTCTGAGTCCCAACAGACCCGACTGTGGCCAGCTCAGGAAGGGCGGGCTGACCTCACACGTCAGTCGAGGGTAAAAGCCTTTAACCCTTAATGTGGTGTGAAGCTGTGCAAAGCTTTTTAAGGTTGCAGTTGGGTTGAAAAACCCCTCAGGACCAACAATGAGAGTGGCGATACCAGGAGGGGAAGGGGAAGGTTGGGGGAGAAAGGGGAAACGGATCACAGTGATCTACATATAACCCCCTCCCTGGGGGACGCACAACAGAAAAGTGGGTGAAGGAAGAAATTGGTCGGTGTAAGACATGAAACAAAAACAAAAACAATATGTCATCAAAGGTGAGGGAGGGAGGAAGGGTGAAGGTGGAGGGGAAAAATGAGGAGGTGATACCAAAGGCTAAGTAGGAAGAAAATGTTTTGAAAATGATGGCAACAAATGTACAAATGTGCTTGGCACACTATATGTATGTATGCATTAGGAGCTGTATGAGCCCCAATGAAAGGATTTTAAAAAGTCCTTGGAAATAAGTTGAGGGTGCGCGATGCAGGCAGAGAAGATGGGGCGCACAGTAGACGAAGAGAAGGCTATTTCAGGACCACGGCAAATGCCTTTACAAGGGCTTGGCAAGCTCTTGGCACCAGGCATGAAATTAGTATTAAACAGACTTGTTTCCGATGCTGGAGAGAAAGGCTGAGATATGTAAATGCTGTCGTTTAGAAATCGGGAAGAATGTACTGCTGAATTCAAAATCATCAGAGGGGATCCCGTTTTATTTAAAGCTATCTAGTGCCGGTCAGCAGCCACTACTAGGGCGTAACTGTGTGGGTGGGCACAGCAGGCGTCGAGTGAGCAGCAGCAGCTCCCATGACTGGCCGGGGCTGCGAGCTCAAGTGCAGGCCTTCCACTTGGAGCACTGCACCTGCCGAGCCCGCAGGCCCGAGGAACCAGCAAATGCTCTCCTATGACTCTTCCCTAATGGCATCATCTGTGCAAATTATAGTGTCCTCCCCAACTGTCCCCGACCTTCCCATCTATTTGCAAATCCTTCCCTTGGCCCCAATCCTCCCAAACCTTGCTCAAACCTTCCAGGTGGACACCATCCTGGGGGTACCCTGCTCTTCACCCAGACTGCTGGCCAGGGGCCCGTCAGTCCTCATTAAGTGGCTGTCCGACCCGCCATCTGTTCCCAAAGTGTTTTGTCTTCTGCTGCTTTGTGGAAATCTGGCTTGCCCCTCTGATGCCATTTTTTCCTGCTCCCACCTTCTCACCCAGCTCCAAGACAAAGGCATGGCTGCCTCTAAGAATGCACCAAGAACACAGTCTCCTCTCTGTCCACGGTTGCAAAACCAGAGAGACGTTTTAAGCTGGTATGGTCCTGATAATAAAATAACCATATTTTGAACACTGTCCAAAGAGTAAAATGTACCATGAAAATGACTTTATAGTGGGCAAGAAAACACCTTACGAGAAGGCAAAGGTATAGACCACATTGATGTGTGTGTGTAGGTGCATATACTCAGTCACTCAGTCCATCACTGCCACCAAGTCGATTGACTCAGAGCCCCCTTGGAGGACAGAGCAGAACTACCCCAGTGGGTTTCCCAGAGTAGACAGCCACGTCCCTCTCCCATGGGGTGGCTAGCGGTTTGGAACTGCTGACCCTGTGGTTAGCAGCCCAACACTCTACCGCTAGGCAGCCAGAGCTCCTGCACAAAGACACACACGTAATCTCTGCATGTACATGACACTGACGCCCACCGCATGCACACACACGTGTGTACATGTGGCAGTGTTCGATGCGATTTCCATTTTCAGAATGGTCAGTGACACTAACCCTAAACCTGACTGCTAAGCTACGGGCAAACGGAATCCTCAGCTCGTTGACGATTAGGGCAGGGGTCCACGGAGGCATTTTAGGAAGAGTTTATTATGAATCAAACTCGAACCAAACCCATTGTCGCCGAGTCCATGCCAACTCACAGCCTCTGGAGGCCTGAGCAGAGCCTGCCCACAGTTTGCACAGGCTGTTATTTTGACAGACGCCGGCAGCCACAGCTTTCTCCCACTGACTTCCAGAAACGCACTCTGGCATGGCAGCTAAGTGCTTCACCACAGTACCACCAGGGCTCCTACTTCAACCAAACAGGCCAGGGTTGTCGTCATGCACCGCTTACTTCTTCGACTCGTTGAAACTGGCGTCCTAGTGCAGTCACTTCTGTTGAAACGCCACTTTCCCCAGGGCCCTAGATTTGCCAATGAGGAACAAGTGCTCCTTTACTTCTATTTGCTTTCCAAATCCTGTCACAACATTTCCACCTGAGAGTCTGCACCAGTGGTCTTGTACTTCACTGATGGGTCCTTGAAGCACCTTGTGACAAACACATTAAAAAACAAACCGAACGAGGTTCCCCAGGTTTCGGCCTTAGAGATGCTGATTCCACCGAGCCGAGGTGCAGTCCCCGCTGCAGCCCAGACTCACCAATGGATGCAGACGGATCTCGGTTCAAAGCACGCGTCTCACTATTTGCTTTGATCACCCCTCTCTCCCCATCACTTCACATCGACTAGAGCCGGACGTGTCCCATTGTCTTTGGAAGCTTCAATGGCCCTCTGTCCTACTCCTGACCCCGAGTCATCCTTAGTGATGTGACAAAGCGCCGATGTCTTTGAATTTGCACAGAGTTATTTAACCGTTTCCTGCAGGGTAAATATTCTGATTATTTTAAGACACCAGTAATGATGGCATAAATCCCTTATGAGGTAAAGCTCCTGATACAATTTCTGTAGCATATATTTAGATGTGCGATGTGTACCGCAGAGTGTATGTGCATCGAGGGATTCCTTGCTGCTGCTCTGAGGTGCCACTGCGCTGAAGGAACCACTGCCCGG